CATCTAACCATTAAAAATAAAGAAAAATAAAGAAACCTTACAAATAAACATGGTTGCCCTTCCAGCCTATGTGATGTTAACCAGTGATGAAGGAAAATGAAATTTGTAAAGGATGATATTCAGCAGATATACAGCAAAAAAAGAGTAGAAAAGTGTTTCTCCATAGTGGATAAGCACATTTCAGAAGAGAAACATTTAAGTACCTGATGCAGACCTTGTAACAATAAATAATAGATATCTCATCAGAGATCTATTGATCAGGCTAGATGAAGCTTTGAGTAACTTGATCTAGTTTGAGATGTCCCTGCTTATTGGGGGGGGGTTTGGACTAGATGACCTTGGAAGTCCCTTCCAGCCCAGACAGTCTATGATTCTATGATTCTATGACTCATGGAAAGACTGTAATTTTCAAGGAGTCTAAAGCCTTATCTCAGGTGTCTTTAAAAATCCCAACCTAAACGTCTATATATAGACAGATAATTAAAATTCCACTGGCAGATGAATCTGCTAGAAATCAAGACAGTAGAAGAAAATATGTAATGAACTATGTTCTATTCTGAGACCACAGACATTTCTTTTTTTTTTAAGTCGTGTAAAATAATTCATTAGCTATCATTGCTAACTCATAGAGGCTCACAGAGATACCCAAGACTAGAGTTCTGCAAAAGGATGAAATAATTATGGGCTCTGGGCAAGGACTCCATCACTCACGCTGGAAATCCTGCAAGGGGTTTTGGCCTTTCTAAGGAAACCTCCCTTCCATATCAAAAGGGGAAGAATATTTAGTTGGCACTGGGAGTATATTGCAGTCATATTACATTAGTCTTCACTATCTTTATTAAGTTGAAGAAGAGGTTCAAACTCTTTCTTCCAGTCTTAAATCTCAATTATTTCTTTTCATTATTGTTAAGGCATATTTTAAAAACTTTTCTAAAAAAGGCTTGTGAACTCTTTTAAGAGGTTTGGTGATCAGGGAAGGGGATAAGGAGGTTGGGGTTTTGTGGTTATTGTTTTAAGCAGGAAGAATGCAATACTCTCTGTTCAACTAGTTTCCTAATGAGTACAGTGTGATCAGCTGAGGGCTAGAAAGGTCAGATTGTTCATTATGAAAATGGAAGTTTCACTCTCTTCATTTCCTGAAAGTGTCTTTTATTTTATTTCTTTATATAAAAATTAAAATGAAGGATACTTTTCAGTTGTTTACATACTGGCAATTTCACTGACATTTGAAAGCACTATAGAGTATAAATCACAGATCCTTTAAGGGAAACAGTTATTTCACTGATGATGCGTTTATACTAAATGTTATGAGATTATAAAAAAATCTAATTAACACAAAGGGAGTTAATGTCAGGAGATTAAACACTTTGTTATTTACAGCTTTGACATGGCATTAAATCCAGAAAGTAAGATTTATGAATTCAGAAGAATTTAGCTAGAAAATATGGAGAACAACTCTCTCAAAACAAAGCAGTTTTACAGAAGAAGATCTGGTAATTAAAAAGAAGTAAACTTGGAATTTAGCATAACAATGCAATGATTTTTTTTTAAAGACAAACAGAAAGAGATTTTTAAGCAGGCATATAATTGTAGGAGGTGTGGTTACCACATCTCTGATCAGCATTGAAAAACCTTTATTTGAAATAATGTGTCTGGTTTGTGCACTGCCATTCAGGAAAGATAGGAACCAAATAGAAAAAGTTCAAACGGTATGTTTATTTAAAGATATGGAATACACAATCTCAGGGGAAGGATTCATGACCTGGATTTTGTCAATTTATGGGGAAGCTATGGGTTTGATAAAGTCTTTAAACATATAGAAAACTTGCAAAGAGGAAAGGAATAAGCTTTTCTTCATACCCTTGGTGGACAGGACAAGAAGCAAACAGGTTTAAATTGCAGGAAGAAAGATCCAAGAATATTAGAAAAACTTTCAAACTATAGCTGTAGCAAGATTAGTAATAGATGTTGTCCAAAGAACCTGCATTTTTTTCATGGGTGACAGTTTTAAGGATGGATTAGACAAACCCCTGTCAATAAAATAGGTATAGCTGATGCTGTGTGTGAGCAAGCAGTTGAATTAGATGACACTTAAGATTTTTTCCTAGTAAATTATTCCATGATCTTACTGAATTGTTTCTTGTTCCAGGCAAGAATTACTTCGTCCATAAAGCACAGAAAAGAAAACTGAAATTTTCCTGTTGCCTGAAGCTAATTGTGCCTTTTTGAAATCACTAAAAATTCCAACACTTTTACAAAACCAGATTTAGGGCTTGGATTTTAATTTCTTTTTTCTTTACTGAGAAAATAACTGCATGAACATTCAGACATGAAACAGATGTGTATAAGTGTCAGACAGGTCCTGACAACATAAACAAGTATTAGAATGGATCCTTAATTACATACCAAAGATCAATGTTGTAAATAGAATTCTATTTAACAACACAGCATTATTTTACAGCATTTGGGGACAAAGAAGGTAGAAATTTATTCAAATGATAGGTGCCTGTGTTTTCACTATGGGCTGTACTGTGACACATTTTGCCTAGGCAAATCATTACTAGATAATAGAAATGGCTTCAGCAAAATTGTTCCTTGCTATGATTGAGGGTGTTGTAAAGTAAGCAGAACAGGTCTTCAAAAAACCTTTCACAACTTATTTACAGAACTGGAGCATTACTGAGGAGAACAAATTTCCTAGGTGTCTAACATTTGGCATAAATTTATATGATCACATGAGGTAGACCAAAGTTGAGCTTTCTTTCACTGGAGATTCTGAATTCACAATACTTCTTATGTAATATTTCCTACAGAGTTAGCATTGCAATTAACAGTCTTCAGCTACATCTACATTACTAAACTACAGACAAACTAAACACAGGTTTGAATACTAGCACAGAGTCATTCCTACTGTATGTTTGTTAGTATATTTATTCCAACTCCTGACTAGTAATTATCTCGCAGGTCACACCTAGGTACAGTCTAGAGGGAACACATGAATAAGGGCACTGCAGTTGAGACTGGGAGACTTTAGCTGTAAAGTGTGAGCTACACTATGCTACTTCCTTCTATGTTAAGAAACATGCCCCTGCTCTGTCTTATTTATGACCAAAAAAACATAGTTTTGGAGTCTGAAACTCCAGGAATGTTCTTAATAGACTGCATTTATGGGGCAGAAATGCCTATACTTTGTACAGGTGGTGAGTGTGAAGTGGAGCTTGTAAGGCTGGGGATAAAAAGTTGATAGAGATAAAATCATAGACTAAAGGTTGAAGACTTTCTGCACAGAGCTGATGTGGGCAGTGAAAGGAGACACTCAGTAGACTAAGTAAAGGTCACTCACTTCCCAGGACATTCAATATCATCTGTGGGGATGTGTAGGTAGCTTTTACCAGGAGATCTTGGAAACAATGGCATTCTCAACAGGTAATATGGCAGAAATTAACCAAAAGACAGCCAGCAGAGTTTGGCTGGAACATCACACTAACTGTGTTTTAAGGAGGTTATACTGAATTGAAATTCACGAGAAACTAATAGACTTACCAGGTTCTGGCATTGTCCAAGCTTTACACTTAAAATGCTCACTGGGATCTGAAGGTTGACCTATTCCAACCAGATTTACAGCAGCAACCTTGAATTCATAGAAGGCATCTTCTGTCAGATCCTCTACCTGTTTGAGAAAACAATTCAATACATCAAAAGCCATGACTTATGTTCTTTTAATAAATTAAATACTTAAAAATAAGCATTAGTTAATTAATTATCAGGCCTTTCTGGTGTGATGGAGTACTGGAAGGATGTAATTGGAAAATTTTACTCTTAAACTAAATACAGTGCATAGATCTCTATTGTACTTCTATGTTTTAGCCCCATCATTCTAGGAATAACAGTACTCGATGTACTGGCGTGAAAGGATTTCAAAGGTGAAAGCAAACATCCAGGGTAGCCCACTCAGTCAATGACCACTAGCAGATACTTATGGGTGTGTGTTCTAACACAAAATACCTTCTTGTATTTTTTTTGTAATGATTATTCATAAGCCGTTCACTTAAGCAAGAGTCCAAATAGTGTTTTGGTCTAAAGAGGCCGTAGTGGACGGGCCAGGGAAGAAAGAAAAACAACAGGAAGCTAAAGGAAAAGCCAATCTAATTAGTGCCAGAGTGTGCTAATAAAACTCTGGGAAATAGTCTCTCGATAATTTTTTCTGGCTTGATATGTGTCTTTTTCATAATATTAACAATCATTACAAAGTGAGGAAGTAAGTACAGGAAATGAGATGACCAGAATCTATACTGCTGCAAACGTCCCTGATCAATGAACCCTAACTAATCTAATAAATCCATCATCACATCCCTAGCTCAGATTTTGAGGTCAAGGTAGAAAAGCTATTTAGGCATAAACTTCTCGACATTCTGAGAGCCCCGTGGTGGCAACCCTCTTCCATCTTCCTCTTCCAGACCACCTAAATACAAAAAACAAGTCTTCTACACCTCAGTTCTCTGCCTAATTTTCCCAAAGCTATATTTAATCTTATGTCTCAAGAGAAAGAGGCAGCTGAGGGTAGTACTTCTAGTGGAGAAACTGGACATTTTTAGATTTTCATGAATAAATAAAGCATAACTATATTGTCTGGGAAAATGTGGGATTGAAAAAAAAAGGATCTTGGTGTGATTTCTTTAATGATAACAAAAATGTGATGGGATGGTGACAAACATATGATAAGGTAGCATCAAATGTAAGACCCAACAAACAATGTAAACTAGGAAAAATCAGGTCCTAATACAATTTAGATAGAATATCCTGAAGATGGAAAGCTATATGATGTGATTCACAAGAAAGAATAACAGCTCAGCCCGTAAAAATGGCTATGAAATCCTGGGGTTTTAAGGGTAACAATATTTGTGGTGTTCCTATAGGATTACTTAATCAAAGAGGGTTAAACCTGTAGTAATTTCCCAGTGCTGTAGTGTATATCTCAGGGCCCTCTCTGCTTGTAGTATGTCATAAAATATTCTATGCTACTAAAAGCTGTCTTGCTTTTATTTCCCTTCAGTATTTCAGATTCCACTCACTCAGAATAACATAAGAAGATACACCTTCAGGTACAAATACAGTTACTGGCAAGACTGAGATTTAAATACCCAACTAATTAAACCCTGTATGGTTTCCATTAGTTTGCATTACTCATTATTTTATAAAAGCATTAAAAAAAAACAATCTGGAAAGTGTTGCTTAGAATTGTCATTTCATGCCTATTCTACCCATCCTTTTTAACTTCTCAGCTTCCATGCTCCATCTGCTATGTTAGAGATGCCAGTTACAAACTCTCACAGCCGAGTGTTACCAGCTGTCTTCTGTGCATAAAACATTCCTCCTGAGCTCATCTGTATCCCTAATTTTTACTTTAGTGTTAAATATCTGCTAAAGACTTACTTGTGCACTGAGATTTATAGGAAATGTGCTGACTTGCAGACAGCGAGACTTGCAGACTTTTTCAGAAGCATTTGGGAATAAAATCTGGTTGTTTAACTTATTTTAACAAGCATCAGATTGATTAATTACTTGCTATATTCTATCTTCCTAAGCTTTCTTCATGGAAGTTCACATTAAATCTTTCCTCTTTTAAGAAATATTGAATACATTGTAAGTGCAACCAGAAGTAATTTCTTTCAAAACTAAAATCATCACTCTGGTACTTTGGAAAGGAGGCAATGAGGCATTATGCTGGGTTTATTAATATACTTCCCTTTCCAGCTGAAGGCAGATTTTGAGAGTAAGAACAGGGACAGTTACATTTTTTCTCAGCCCATCTCCATTTCATTTACAAGTCTCCAGTTCTACAGACAGCACAGTCATCTGTCGTGCTAAATGCTTCCATCCCTTCTCTGCATGTTATTACAGTGGTGATACATATAGTACTCATTAATGAATATAGTTTATGAAGCATTTTATAGCTCATCTTGTTCTTTGTGAAAAATGTGCTTCAAACCTTTTTCCTCAAAAATTTCCTCATCTGAATAGCCTTATTGTTCTTAGAATTTCAGATCAGGGGATTTCACTGATCCTCTACCCCAGTTTTTAGTCTTGTTGTACTTCAAAATATATGATGGAAGATGTCCTCGTTCCGTGTAAAAAGGGGTTCAGGGCAGGACCCACACGGAACAGAACTGTGTACTCGCCTCTCCCCCACCCCCTCGAGAGAGAGAGAGACTTCCTCATCTGAATAGCCTTATTGTTCTTAGAATTTCAGATCAGGGGATTTCACTGATCCTCTACCCCAGTTTTTAGTCTTGTTGTACTTCAAAATATATGATGGAAGAGCCTATTTTTGTTGTAGTAAGTATTTAAAGATTTTCTCTGCAAGAAAGTAGGCCTTCACTAAAAGCAAAGAAATAGTACAAACCAACTCCAGAAAAATAAATAAAAAAAAAAATTAAAAAGTACCAACCGTATAAATCGTCTGGGTAATAAGGGAAGGATTGACTTCATGCCAGTTTTGATGTTTAGCTTCACGTTTGTCCATATAATAACCAAGGATTGGTGAACCTCCACTGTACTTTGGTGCTTTCCAGCCAAGGGTCATTGAATGACCATCACAGTTCAGAAGTGTGATACCATGAGGATATGATGGACAAGCTATAAGGAAATTAAGCATCCTGAAAGTTAGAGTACAGTCTAAAACACTACAGTGTAGAAGCCGTTTAGCATTTTTTGGCTTTGTTTTCTGTAGCACACTGATATCAGTTGCATACTGGTAACAAAGTAGTTGTAAGGCTGGTAATCAACATTCTTTTTCTTTCCAAACATAACTGTGAAAGCTTCTGAAACATCTTCCTATAGTGCTGCCTTCTCAGGAGGTGACAAGAAGGAATATATGGTTTCTGGTATGGAAAAGGTAACACCAGCAAAAGTGTCTCCAGGCCAAATACTATGCTAGAAGATTGAAATGGATTGGAAGATCTTTTCCTGCTAAGAAACAAATAAGCTGCTAAATACTTTGGGAATACAATAAGGATCACACAAATAAAGAAAAAAGAAAAAAAAAAAAAAAGGCTATGAAATTGAGTGAATTCACATATTATATGCCTGCTTCATACAGAGAGTGCTCTCTGCCCTGTAAGGAATAGAAAATAATTAGACTTCCACTAGCTGAGCCTATGTTGAGGCAGAAAAGACATTTCCATCATGAGTTTACCTGCATGAGTTTACTGTCATCTGTAGCAGAAACAGAAATGTCATGCAGGCATCTTCCCAGAGATGAAAACTGTTTTCCTGAGCTCTTTACAGCCCTACTGCTAGCAAAGAGTGCTCCTAGCAAGCACTGTTTTTTATTTGTCACCTGTGCATGAAAGTCTGCCTGATGATCACTCTTTCTTGACCCTGTCGTGCTGCATCCAGTGCAGGGTAAGCTCCTGCTTCTAAGGGTCCTCCGGTATTTTCAGCTGAATCGCCAGCGTAAGTTGAGAGAAGGTGACTTGTCTTGTTCAGAAGAGAATATGTTGGCAGAGGCCCTTAATACTGCTCCCGATCACGCAGCTGTACTAGTGACCGCCATGAACACAGATAGTAGTCAGCAGAACCAGCCTTTTGTTCTTTTTTTCTTGAAAGGTGGTATTAGAGGCCATGAAACATGACCTTTGCAATTATTACCGCTGCTTGGTAAATAATAACTAGAGCAAATGCCTATAAATGCTCTTAAAAATAATACTACTCAAAGATTCTGTACATGCTAATGCAAGTCACCTATAAACAGTCCTCTAAATTCCTGTTAAGACTACTGAAATGGATAAAAGTCCAACCCATTAAGTGTGTGTAAGATCCATGTGCTCTGTGTTTGGTGACGCATTCCATGCAACCCTCACCTTCAAAATACATAGTGACAAAATGAAACATGCAAGTGCATTTACAACATTGGAGTGACAGATGTACAGGTGTCTGTGCAACACCTACCCATATGAGACACACTTCGTCCTAAAAAAATCAATAGGGCAAGTTTGTCAGCATCATCTCATCCAAATTTATCTTCTAACAACCATTCTGAATTATAAAACTTTTAGAGGATTATTTTTGAGAAGTATACCTATTTATCTTCTTTGCCAAAAGGTGGAAACCATTCAGGTAGGGAAAAGGTGTTCTACTTTAAATTTTTCAGTAAAAAATTGCAATTGTGCAGAAATTAAAATTGGACTATAGTAGCCTAGATCTATGCACTTTTTGTTCTAGACAGTTATCCAGCTTTTCACTCAGTATGTATCATTCCCCACTGATGGTTGCACAATGTATTGCTCTTACACTGAAATTTTGTTTGCAAAGTATCAGAGAAGGTAAATTGTGCTCCAGCCTGGAGCAGCCAAAGACAAATTTCTATTTGGTCCAGATACACAGTAATAAAGTTTCCTGAAACTCTTCTAAATGGAGCAGATTCTGTGCTAAACTGGTTGTTACCACTCCAAATCACCCAGAAGCTACTTGTCTAACTTAATGAAGATTCAGTTTCTTTGTTACAGCTGAGGAGCAGAAGACAACCTAGTCATTACAATGAATCTGAACCAATATTTCAAAGGTATTATGAATAACTTTTTTTTTAACAGTGTCTTTTCTCTGGAACAGCTACATTCCAGAGCATAAACTAAAGGGATGAGTTCAATGGCTGCAAAATGTACTGTTTTAGCAAATTTGACCAAAGGAGTTGATTGCTGAAAATATGTAACTCTGCCAAGAATAAGAAACTGAGTCACACAGAATCATACTTACTAAGGGCTGCCTGTACCATTATAGCCTCTGACTCCTGTGAGTTTTCACTGACTCCAACAGCGTTTACAGCTTTCACACGGAAAACATACTGCTCTCCAGTTTCCAAACCATGAACAACAAACCTGAGTTAAAAAAAAAAAAAAACATCATTGGATGTTAGCATGTATTTTACAGGAACCATTCTGTGCTGTGACATAAAATTTTGGCAACAATCTAAAAAAACTCAACTTCATGGGTGCTTCACAAAGAAAAATATTTCCAAGAGGGAAACTATAATACAAAGACATGATGTAGTACAATATAATTGGATGGGACACTGCAACAAAAGTCACAGTACTCACCAAACTGCTAGTGCTGATCTACCAGGTAGAGTCAGATAAACTATAATATATCCCCTTAGAACTCTGAATTCATAAGAAAATGTAAATTACACATCTAAGCTTTCCATCTGGTGATTGATTCCATGAAAAGTAAGCATGATTTTCTGCACAGCAGTGTCAGCAGTCAAAGCACTTTCCTCACTGTGCTTATAGCAGACATGACCTTCCCTTTTGCCCTGATGTCCCTGGACTATGGGAAAGCTTCTGAGTTCCCCCTCTACTCAATCTTCCTTATGTGCATTATGTCTGTTTACTCAATAACATAATTCTGACTTTATTTTATGCTTACTCATATCCAGGACATATAGAACCATGTCTCTCTGCTTTTACAACTCAAAGCCATGGAATAAACCAGAGACGCTTCTCTCTCTCTCTTTTTTTTTTTTT